AGCCCTCTTCTGCTAATAATGTATGGTGAGGCATACTGACTAAGCATACGTAATACATGTCCCAACCATCTCAGTCGATGAAGTTTCACAACCTCATTAGATGACTTTTGCCTACTTCCTAAAATTCTACACCTGAACTATACATTAATGAAATGGTGACGCCACAAACCAAGCTCTGTGCTACGAAATTAAAGGCGGTCGAACAACTAAGGCCTTCTTATTTCCTCTGACTTTAATGACCAGGTTTCACGGACATGCAACAGAACACAAAGAACTGCGGCGCAGTGTGCTCAACCCCTGATAGACAATGGAATATGGGGTAGTGTAGGTTAGTGAAAGCCTCCCGAGCCTTTTGTATCCGTGTAGAAATTTCGTCAGTCACTTCCCCGCCAGGACTGATCTGACCTACAAGGTAAGCGAAGCTGTCAACGCGCTCTACCATTCCACTCCATACTGTCAGACAGGGTACGAGTGAAGATTCGTCCTGGAGCAACAATTTGCATTTGGGTGACTAGAAACGCATCCTAAGCACTCTCAAACTCCCACTCAAAGTCTCCAGAAGACTCTGCATCTTATCAACATCATCCATGGACTCTATTTCTGCTAGGAAGTCTCTTGTCACAAGCTCAATCCCAGTAAAGTCAGGCAGCAAAAGAAAACTTCCATATTTATAGGACAGAATAGGAATGAGAAGAGTGGGCATCCTTGACGAACACCACTCAACGTACACAGATCCCCCGACATCTCACCATAGGCTGTAACATGCCCACAGGTATTGAAAAAAAGAGTCTTCAATGAGGTGTTGTACTTACTCAGTATCCCTTTCAGTGAGAGACACCGCGATAAGACCTCTCGATCGATGAAGGTGAATACTGCCTTCAGGTCGAGAAATACGGCTAATGTTGAGTGTCGGCAAGTGTGTCTGCGTTCTAAAACCTGGGGGAGTGTGATTGTCCTGTCGATACGCTCACAACCAGACCTTGAGCTTGCCTGGTTTCCTCGTGTTCGCTGTCCCAGACGCCTAATAATCACAGAACCTGGAATCTTCGACACTATGTTTGTCAGGTTATGTGGTTATCACAAGAGAATGTTTCACTTTTCTTGAAGACTGGAATAATCACTGATTGAGACCAATCAGAGGGATCATATCTGACTTACACACACCAGTTCAGTTAACTTGGTCAATAATCCTCTACCGTAGTCTATAAATACCTTCAATACCGGTTTGTCTGGCCCTGGTGCTACTCTTCGTTTCATATTACCTACAATTTCCTCGACTTCTGCAAGTATTGGGGCCCTATCCTGACAGGATCGGACAGGATAGAGAGAAACGGAATAGTAGCTGAAAGCCAGTTGAACTGTTTCTCGAAGTGTTCTGCCTATCGCTCCAGTCGTTTCCCGTGCGAATAAATCACAGACCCATTCTTCTCCGATGTAATCTCACTAACCACCGATCTTTTCCGCACAGTTTCCTTAATGAGTTTAAGGTACTGTCTTCTGTTACCTATCACCTCTACCTTTTCCACTTCTTTAGCCTTTCTTTATCCATGGCTCTTCGGGGTCCTTGCTTGAACTTTTTGTCACAGAACATTTTAATTGCTTCCGTTCCACATTATTCTCGTAGCCTGTAGTGGCCTTGCTACTGTAGTTTTTCGCGTCCACATATTAGTTTATAAAACATTCAGTCATTCCATTTTGGTTGTTGTATTGCACCGATCTTTTTAGAAACATATTTTGCTTCTGTTCACTCCTTTCACCAGTGTTGTGGGTGAAATACTTCAGACTTGTTAAGAGGCCAGTGAGATCTACTTTGCTTCATATCCTCTATTCCCTCCCTTTCTACGTCTTTATGAATTTGGGCAACTTCGATCAGTACACAGTGATGCCAAGCCTTATGTTGTTTATATCTCTTTGTTCATCTTCACTGCCAAATGTCGTTTTATAAACGCGATAGTTTGTTGAGCAAGCCCTTGAGTAATGACACCTCAATGGCGATTATGGTCTTTCAATTAGATTCTGTAAGAAACTTATGGCTTAGAAATGGTGGAGAACATTTATAGCTCAAGGCGGGGATGTTCAGCTTGAATTGTCTGTCCTCTGAGCTAGGATTTTAGTTGGTAAACATTTTAATGCCATACTAGACGTTAGAAAGTTGTCTAGCTAAAGCCCCAGTTCAGAAAACAACTCAATCTGAAAAACTCGTAGTTATCAAACGCTTACAGTATATAAAGTATTTAACGCTGAAAGCATATTTAACCATTATTTAAAGTTTTAGTAATCTGTCAACTAGTAACATCTAATTTAATATGGAGCTGTGACTCATTGTTTTAGGGCAATGGCTTCCAACCATTGGGTTATAGGTTTGAAACCCCCACCACCTACCGATGTCTGGGCAGCTGGCTGGTATCGTTAGCCCTCACACATTAGGTGTGGTTCATGGCCGAATGCACAAACATGCGCAATGCTGCTGAGTGAATTTCGATTCGGTCAGGTCCAACTAACTAGTTATTAGTTACGTAAGTTTTTTTCAACTTACTTAATCTGCTAACATACACATACTTCTAGAAACAACTTTGTATGCTAAAGTTTTTATTCAAAATGAAAACCACGTTACCTTACTACTACCTGATCGATTTTTATCAGTAGTTCGGGACAGACAAGATAAATTTATGTAACGTAAAGTACTTAATTTGTATTCAGTCCTACAGATAATCATTCGTTACTCGAGTAACGCACTGGAAAAAAATCTTTGTTGAGATTTACGGATATGGTAGATCATAAACACTTGATTTACATTCCGGATAAATGAAATACGACACTTGCTATCTCTTTCAACGAACCCAAGGAAGAAGACAAAACTAAACGGAAGAAGTTCACTTCAATTGGAAGAGTATGCAAAATAGAGGTACTGCTCGTAGGTTTTTATACATTAGGATACTCTTAAGGCAAAAGCACAAATTAACATGTTAAAAGCGGAAGAACGACCAATGGGAAAATTGCTTCATTAGAAGGGATAAAAATGAGTGATACATGTGAGGCAGAAAAAGGTACGAAAAAGATCAGTTCAAACATCTATAAGATAAACTTAGGCATAAAGTACTCACTTTTTGAAGATGCAGCGTCTCGAACAATCTTCAAATACAGAGATAGATAATATGTATTTAAATTTCAAAGTGAGTCCTAGTGATCATGGTATGTATGCTTGAGTCGTTTGAGCAGTTTGACCGTGCACTACTTTTAGTTATCTTGCAACATAGAAGTATTGAAGACCAAATCAGGAGTGAGCAGTGATGTCTAGCGATGACATTAAATTATAATCACAATGTATCGCAAACAAACTACAGTTTGAAAGTGTGAATGACAGCCTAATCGCTGTAAGGGTTCATGATCTTGAGTTTCATTTTGTGTGGGACAACGGTTGAACATGTTTAAAGAGTTCAGTGTCGCCTGACTTTATGAAATCATTCAGTGTGGAAAACTAACTTCAAATGTTGAAACTGTTATAAAGGATTCATGTTACAATTTAAAGCTAGAACTAAATCATAATGAACGGGTGGGGGTGGGCAACGTATAACTGAATTGCATTACACATTTAAAAATCTTGTTGTCTGTTGAATTGTAGTGATAGTTGTACTTAGTTTTTAAAATGTCATTTTATGGGTTAGTTGCTTTGGATATGATTTCCGTGTAATCACTTATTTTGTAAGTAGTAAACAGTGAATTGATATGATGATCAATTCATAAACAATATTATTTATGCTAAGGAAAAAACATCCTTTTTAGCCTAATATTTGTCATTTATTTAGGTTGGTATTGCTTTTTTTAAAAAATTATTGACTGTGTTCGAAATGCCTAGAATGTTTTGTTTCAGTTGCTGTAGGGCTTGTTTTATTTACTGAACCAGTGAATATTAATGGTGTCAGAATATATGACTGGTTAACAAGTTCGATTGCGTCAATCATGGATGATGTAAATGCATACATGTCATATCGTCATTTTTATCGTAGTAACACATTTCGTTGTTTGCCTAAACCCATCTTCTTTTCATTTCACATCTTTGCATATCTTTTGATCGTGGAGAATATTTGTAGCTCAGATGGATGGCTTGGTTATATTGTTTGTACTTATGCGTCTTTTGTGTTGTTTCCGGGTCACTTGATCTGATGATGTAAGATGTGACCAATCGAACCTTTAGTTAATATATTGTGCGTAGGACATAGTTGCTTATCAAAGGCTGCCTGCTTATGACCACGTAATATCATGCTTAAAAAGCTAACTTGTGAGAAATTGCATAATTTTATTGAAGCTAATAATATATTCTTTTTGCGATTTCTATTATGATTTGATGTTTTTAAAAATGAAAATGATAGTTCTTAATTTCTGTTAGTATCTCCAAGACCGATCAATGTAAAATAGTCATTTTCATACTGCTCAGATGTGTAATTTCTAATCAATGGTCAGGAAGCGTACTCTGTCTTAGTAACCACATCATGTGAACTATTCTGCATGCAATAACTGTTTCTCTTCACCCAAGACGATAAATATTAGGGGGATAATTTTTTAGCTGCTTTCTTTGGTTTTCTTTAGAAAAGTTCACCCACACTCGAGCATAATTTCGAACAAGATTAGTAATCCATTTCATGGAATTGACTAAAGCTTGTTAGTTATCCCTCAGCTAATATTATCACATTCGTAAAAACTTAGTAGTAATGATTTGTAAAACAGTATACTTGTGCTATTTTTGAAACTGAACAATAAGTATTGTACTCAGTAATACTACTGTATATAAAGATTGGAATGTTGCTTTTACATCAATTCAAACATTTCTTTGAACATTCTTTCATTAAACAACGAAAAGTTCAATTTAATTCTAATTTAAATGTTAATTAATTAATAATCACTTTATTCCGAACCACTTTTTGGAGTTTTAATCAGAAAAGTAATCAGTAATCTATTCATAGATAACCTTATTCCTGTTTTATTTTCATTTATTTTTATAGAACGGATTTACACCATTGCATATTGCATGTCAAAAGAATCGGATTAAAATTGTAGAGCTTCTAATTAAACACAATTGTTTAGTTCAAGCTACAACAGAGGTGAGTGTAGTTGGATTCTTTTTTAGAATTTTTCTCTTCTTTTTAAATCTAGATAGATAGTTGATCAAGAATGGATTTATTTTAAGTCAAGAACCATCATGGATTGAAATTAGTTATGTGGTCACTAAAATCTGAGGTTCATTGAACACTTAGTTCATTCTCATCCTTGATAGTTTGCTTCTAGGACACCATACAAAGTACAAACCAGGATCACCAGAAATTTCGATGAGTAAATTATTCACCTATCGGGTTGAAATCCAATCATTCTGTGGTGTTTACTACTTATACGAGCACATATAAGTGCTGTGATGTTCATAAGAAAAGTAAGTTGATTTATCGTTCAATCGGTAGAATTTTTGAAGGAGGAAAATACAGAAGGGAAATAATGAAAAAGCATGCATGGACAGTGATTAGTGTAAAGTTTTCACATTTTACCAAGACTTGGTATAATTTTCCAATAAGAAATTCATTGAGTCTTCATCTATGCTGTCATTACAATTGGGGTCACTGCCTCCGGACAAAATGAAGATGTTATGGCCTCAGACGTTCAAGAATGGAGATGTGATGAGCTCTTTCAAGATACTAGAGACCTTCGTAGAGTTTCTGTGTGTCTAGGAGGCAAAAATGATGGCATTGTGAATGCTGTTGAGGGGAAAACCAAAGGCGATTCAGGATGGCGTGAAGGAGGATGGTGGAATAACATCATGGGAAGTTGCTGTTGATTACTTGGCTGCTGAGTTTGACAGTTCCACGGATAGACAAGGAAATCTGCTAAGATTCAGATGCATGAAGCCAGGGCCAGATGGAAACCTTTTGAGGCTGACAATAAGGCTGACAAATATTCTACGCTGAGCTTTCCTCATTTTAAATGAACAATCTCAAGCAAAATTACTAGCTTCCCAGTCTATCGAAAGTGGACCTACAGCCATCACAGCAGCTACAACTACTTAACACCGCACAACTGATGGACGTCACTGAACTGGTTAAAGTGAGCAGGCACTTAAGGAATCAAACGGTGATATCACTGATAAGTGAGAGTCAAGCTATGAACAGTATCAATAAACAAGTGGTATTGTTGTTCTTCCATCTTTAAATGTTGTGATATAGTAATCCCGTTAATATTCTGGTCTAAAGAATAAGTAGTCTCGAGACAATAACTTTGTCTGGCATTCAGTATGACTGTGATTGTGCTTAACGCTTGATTGAGAAGACTAGATTGAAAAAGAAAGAGTAAGTGTACAGGAAATTTTATATTGGTTAAATGATAAGGCTTACAAATCATCTTTTATTTTTAAGTGTCTGTAGTGAGTTGAAAAATTCAATTCATGGATGTCGGTTGGTTGTTTGTTTTCTTATCAAAATACGTATTTTCTACGCTTTTGTAATTCTACTAGTTGATGCCTGTCTTTCCCGTAATCTGAGCACTTAGCTAATTTTGTCCAAAGGATAAAGGTGGTAATTCCAACTTAACTACTGCGTAAGTCATGAGTCTAGTGAACTTGTAAACAGTTTGACAGTCAATAACGGTAAACATTTAAAGAATCAATCTTCATCAACCACAGTGATTTGTCAATATCATGTTTATTTAATCAATGTAACAAGGAAGCGAATGTGTTTAGTATTCTGACTTTTTTAAATCGAATTATCTCATTGTCCTCCACCTCTTTTCCATCCCTCTGTAGTACTTCTGTTTTGTATACCTACCTTACTTTATAATTTATTTCAATAATGCGAACTGAGCGAATAAATTCTCTTTGAAGTATGCTATTGTGCCCTTTTGAAACCGCTGGATTATTTTCACTCTCAGACTACGCTAACCTTGGGGTGTCTCTTATTTCATTAGGTTGAGTAAAACAAGATATCTACTGATTAAAATGACATATGATTCTGACAATATGATGTTCCTCACTATGAAACTGAATGTACATTGAAAATTTCAACGGTTACGTGACTGTTTGAATTAAAATCTTCTTTACGCTTCCACCATATACTCCTTTTGTCTTCGTTTGTGGGGCCATGGCTCATTGGTCTAGGCACTCGACTTCCAACCGAAGGGGAACACATTCGAACCCTGTTCAGCCTACATAAATCTGAGCAACCAAGTAGCATCATTCGCTTTCCTACAAATTAGATTTTCCATCTTACTTACTTTATGATTATGTACAATGTTGCTGAGTGTATTTCAATACGATTTTCAATTTATCTGCTATTACTCTTATCGATTTTACATCTTTTTCCATAATCTGTCATTTTTATAATACAAGATGAAAAATTAAAATAACCATTCATTCTTTTTTGTTGTTTGGAGGTCTCAGTTTAATTGATACTCATCAATTTTCATGTAAATTTAATGCGTAATGTTGTGTATGCATGTATTCTGTTACTCTCCAATAATTTACTGTTTGAAGTGCTTGCTGAAATTAACAATTTTTTGAATGGCTATTATAAAGAGAGAGATAGATAATATTGAACCTCATGCTAGATAACACTAGTCTAATTAGTTACACATCAAAGTTGAGCATCTATATACTTACTGAGCATGTATTACACTTATCCCTCCTACCTCATTTGTTTCACATTCACAATCTCATCACATAGCCTACTTACTTTGCCTAGATCTTTGAAAAGATGAGCTTAACAATGATTCATTTATGCTTTAGCAGTACCCGTAATCAATGCATTGTAGATATCGATCGCAAATATAACATGGTGATCAAACAAAAGACAAGAAAACGGCTTTCCAGATTAGCTTGTAAAATTTTCAAATAGCATTAGAACTCGTCTTGTATATGAGCCTATGGATACTTGAAAGGATGTAGCTCTGAGCATTTATTATTGAGTTATATGGATCTCCATGATGTTTTCATTATTCTCATCAGAACTATCACCATACAATTACTTCAGTCATCGTTGAATCACAAATCTTTATGTTCTATGCATTATAAAAAGGTGTGTATTCTAGATTAAAGCCTAATGATGATCTAATGCTTAATATTTCATATATTGTTTGCAACCATGTGACCACTAGACATGTTAACCAAAACAACAGAAACTAATAATTGAATATCCTAAGTGAAAAATGTGTATATATAGCTGAAAAGTTTTCTTAACTGACATTGTAATGTTTTCCTGAACTTGTCGATTCCTGTCTGATTCGATTACTATAGTCTACTGTATCTCATTATTCTTTGTGTTAGTTGTCTCTTAGTGTGCCAACTAGAAGTCAGAGCAGCACTTGTCTTTGTACTTCATCCACGCTTTTCATGGTGACCTAAATACTTGCTGTGAAGTATAACTAACAGACTAAGCTTTGTATTGGTTTCGTGTGTAGACAGTAGACTTTATTTGCAACGAACTCACGAAGCACGGCATGGAAATAGGTATTCCAGTCTCAATATTGAAAGAACTACTTCTGAGGTGTACAATGAATGCACAATTTCTTTTCAACAATGAACTCTACCGGCAATCTGATGGTGTTGCCATAGGGTCACCCCTTGGCTCCTCTCTTAGCAGATTTTTTTTCTGGCAAGACTTCAGAATGGTCCACTGAACGATACTATTAGCCGTTTAGAGTTATATTGTCGTTACATGGATGATACCTTTATAGTTCTTAAAAGTAAGACTGATAAGAATGCTGTTCTGAATAAGTTCAATACTGTCCACCCGGCAATCAACTTCACAATGGAAGAGGAGAAGAATGATAGTATCCCATTTCTTGATGTTCTGTTGGTAAGGTCAGATGGAACCCTGAAGCGAAGTGTTTATAGAAAGCCAACATCAACAAGTCAATATAGGCACTTCTTTAGTGCTGTACCCCTCTAATACAAAAGGAACCTAGTGAAATGCTTAGCATACCGTGCCTCAGCTACTTGCTCAGAGGATGCTATAAAGGAAGAGTGCGCCACCATCCATGATCTGCTTAGTAGGAATGGCTACCCAGACAAGTTTGTAACTAAGCACATGAATATTACGAGGGTTAAGAAAACAATGCCAACAGTTCTTAAGAAGCAAATCTTCTTGAAGCTGGAATTTAAGAGTGATATTGCCAGTGAGATCATCACACAACGTATAAAAAGAGTCTTGCATAAAGCATTCCCAGCCACTAAATTATGTCCCGCCTTCTACAACCGCTCAATTCTAGGTGCAAGAAATAAAAACAAACTGCCTGATCCTGCCACTTCTATGTGCATTTATCAATTCAACTGCTCCTGTGGAGCTAGTTACATTGGGCGTACAATGAGGCAGTTCCATCGTCGAATTTCTGAACACCACCCATCATGGTTGAACAAGGGACAAATTAGAACTATAGAGAGCTCCATACTTGCACACTTAGTTGACACAGGACATCAAGTGGTAACTGGAAAAGCCTTCAAAATCATCCATCAGATTCCAATTAATTTACTTCATGGATTACTCACTCGGTTACTTCACATAGCAGAGGCGATTGCAATCCACCTTTACAAACCTAGCAGTTGTATCCAAAAGAAGTTAGTTCGACCACTTTCATTACCGTGGCCGTCAACATGATGTAACTTCTAGGTGTTTATTTTGTGCACCTCTTCCCCTTCTTGTTTCTATCAATATTCATATTTCCTATTTTAATAGCCCTATTGATTATTTACATCATTATTTCGGAAACACCACCATGTGATTGGTGATTTGATTAAATTGTAAGCCAATATATTAGTGTAGAGCCCAAGATGAAGACCTAATTGAAAGGAATATATTTCTCCGCTCAATCAGTCTTTTCCCTTCTTTTTCATGGTTGATACATAATATACCTGTCTCAAATTTAATGAAAGAGGCAAATGTATAGACAAAATTGAAATGGACATTTTTTGTATATATTTATGGTCATGGACAAACTCGTTGAAGTTAAACAATATTTAGTCTTCAGTCATATGTTTTGTTGTACTGCTGTTTGTATGGGAAAGAAGTGAATGGTGGTTAGCGTTATTTAGCTCTCAACAGGGAAAATAAAACAGTCGATAAGGCTGTAAATTTTTCACTCATTTAAATGACTGAGAAATTTGTTACGTATGCTAAGGACAGTTCATTGGTTGTGTTTTGCTGACTGTAGTACGATTATTCTAGTGGAAAAATGACAGTTGACAAATTCGAATTTACAATCAAGCGGAGGAGTCACTTTACTGTTAATGAAAGCAGTGTGTTAAGAAGTGTACACAGTTTGGCTTCAGTTCTGTACATGCTAGGAATTCTTAATTTATACACTGTAAGTAATATTAGTCTAAACTAACCATATTGGCTTTTATGACTCTTGATTACGTTGTTTCTTTTCTTCTATCTTTCGTCCTGTTTTCTTGTATCTTGATGTACTGGCTTGAACTGAGATATCTTGAACAGTTCAGCAGTAATACCTAGGTCCTATATTGTTACTGACTTAATCAGTACTGAAATCATCAATATATTTTCAATCTCTCTCCCCCACTTTCTTTCTCTGAAGAACTTTTAGGGTGGAAAACAGGAAGGTGTTTTATTTAGTTCATGCAGCCTCTCTGTAAGCAAATTACTGATCAATTTTGTCTGCATTTTATCCTTGGAAAATGATTACCTTTACTGTGTACTGCGATTCAGCCGTATATTTAGTTCACTCTTATACTTTTTCACAAGGTTTACTAATTGTCTTTATCCCATGTTTTTCGATTCTTTCTAGTCTGGTCTAACTCCACTTCACGTCTCTTGTTTTATGGGGCATTTAAATATTGTGGTTCTGTTATTACAACATGGTGCTAATCCAAACGCTCCAACTGTACGCTGTGAAACTAGTTTACACTTAGCTACTCGTGCAGGACAAACTGATGTAGCTCGTCTGCTTTTACGCAACGGTGCTCAAGTCGATGTTAAGGCTAGGGTAAGTTATTGGAAGATTTTGTTTGTTTGCTTTTCGGACACAGTTTTCATGTATCAGTAGCAGTTTTTAAAAAATAGGGGAGGGGGGTAACAAACGCTAGATACCTACCTACCCAGTGAATCCAAATTCAATTACTTTCATTTTCGAGTGCATAGCGTTCAGTTTTTACAAGTGGTAGGACACCATTGAGTTGAATTTCATTAATTTATACTTTCAAGCTTTAATTCTTTTGACATACACCTCAACTATGTCCACAAAGCAGCTCTGACGTACTGATGGCGATATCTAGCATGATGTTGAAACCTTTGCCAATTAAAACCGTAGCTCCGAGAATAACTCACTGAAAATATTCATACCCTAAGCAACGAAAAGACCACCACAACTTTTATACTCCAGCCTTCCTACAATATTCCTATTTACTGACCATACGCCTTTCTCATTGTGATCTGGTCAAACTCAGAGTATGGTTATCTGATTACCAATCTGAATTCATTTCATCAATAGAATGTGAATATAATGATTCCAGGAGTTTTTCATGCATGCACTATTGAACAATCCTAGGCTAGTACTAAGCAGCTATCAAACACTCCCTAGGTTTCTGTAATCATCAGAAATATACTTCATAATATCTAGTGTTATTCTATGTGTATGATATTATTAAAATGTCTTTCATAAATTAAAATAATGACCAATTTTCCAGTAATGTTTCCAATCGAGGATTTATGCTTCATTGTGCGACCTAATATATCCCATGAAATGGATTCATGTTCACTGGATATTAGTTCATTATATTAATTCATTTAAATATGGCTCTAGTGTGCTTACTGGTTTGTTCTTTGTCTGACAATTCCATCTGATGTATATACTTTAAATAAGAATGCGGTTTGAAAAAACCTTGTTTAAAATGTTTTCTATTGCTGCAATAACTTAATCCATCCGAACTGAATAGCCATTCTTCAATATAGTAGCTTTCTTTCTTTAAATTTCATGATCATTACTAATCACTCCTGAGATGATATACTAATTTTTTTCTCTATGACTGATTTTACCACTAAACATGAAAAATCATACACATATTTCCTTTGATCAACTTTAAAAGAGCAAGAACAAATACTGGAGCAGAAAAATATGGATCTATTTTATTATTCCGGTCGCTCTTGTCAGCTGCTTACAACCTAGAATATTTACAATAAAGAATTATGATAAAATATTAACATACTTTATTTCAGTGAAACTACTCAGATTTAGATAACTACCCGAGTTGAACCGCCAAAACAGTAAAATGATTTCATATTATTCTGCTCTAATGTTTGTTTTTGCGCTTTTAAACATGAAATACTTTTCATTGTGACGTCATACCATTTAGAGTAGTCCCCAAGTATCACTTCTCGAATGAAGGGATTCAAGCAATTCTACAAAAAATAAATGTCTACACCATTGCTTGTTATGAATTATTAAGAAGAATATAAGCATTGAGTTTATATATTCTGGGGAAAAAACTTGTTCACATTGCTAAATGTTTAGCAAAATCTTGACTTTATAAATACTCTGGAATTATACTAAAACTTACTTTTATGATTCTAAGAACTTGACGTTGATTATCACATTTGATAGACAGACCAACGTTCGAACCTTGTACACAAGCATACCACTTCATGCTTCCATACTTAAAAGAAAAATGCAAAGTAGCAAGTGCATGATAAAGGAGCAATACTGAAGTAGGTAATAGTGTATGAGAGTTTTCAAATAAATAAGGGATTGTTAATGAAAGTATTCAAGACTTCGAATATGATAAAGAGTGTATACATCTAAATCAGTGTGATTGAATTTAAGCCGTGTCATCAAGAGTCACCAACCGTTGATTTCTATCGTCTTGATGACTTCATCCCACCAGCCTACATATGTCTACCTCGTTAACTAGTGCCACATCTTGCTCTGGTCACCGTTAGCCCACAACCAGCCCAATATTACTTTGGCTAACATTGCGCGTAGAGATAAATCGTACTTTAGCATGCGGAACACATGTCGAAACCATGTGACTACCAGTAAAGTAAAAAGGTAGGGCTTGAGGATTTCTTTTAAATTTAGTCACCTCCATTGGAATTATTGCTAACAAAAACTTTCCCAGTTTTGTATAATAGTGTTTCGTTGGATGCTAGACAGTGAACAAACTGACGTGAAAAAAACTAATTGCTTCTAAAATTTTGTATACCAGGGCGAAAAGTATTCTTTCTTTTATGCCCAACTATTATAATATTGTAGGCGAATAATATATCCTTTAGGAATTGTGTTTAGTAGTTGGTGTGGTTAAAATATTATTAATTTCATCTGGAAAGGCAATGCATGTAATGTATTCAAAGCATCGCTGAACACGAAAAATGATGATCGATGACGTCTAACTTATAATCCTCATATCATGTTTATATTGACATTTTAAAACAATGTTTCTCACTACTAAACAGTAGTCATATTTAAAATAGAAAAATCAAAATTTAACAATATTCCATTTTTTTCTCTCATCAGGGCAATCAGACACCACTTCATATAGCTTCACGTATTGGAAATATTGAATTAGTTACCTTGCTTTTAGAACATGCTGCTAGTGTACAGTCTACAACCAAAGACACCTATACACCCTTACATTTAGCTGCAAAAGGCAATCATAAAGAAATATGCGAATTACTGTTGAAAAATGGAGCAGAATTGGAGGTCGCAACAAAGGTATAATATTGGTATTTAATCTGTGTATTTAATAAAAGTGTTCACATTATAAATGTGTTATATTTTGGACACTATAGGTGCAAAGCGATTTCTCAGCTACCTAATGTTGTTTTGAGCCTTCCTAAAGCTACTGAATTCTGAATCCTTTTCCATACGGATCCTATGAGGATGACTACAGTTCAGCGTGAAGATCACTGGGCTTTTAAATAGATGTAGTTGTTTAAATTTATTGATAAACATCGATTACATATGACTGTTTACATGTATGACCATTTTATTTTGCTATTTCATGGCATTTCTGAAATTATCTATTTATTTTAACAAAACTCCATATGGAATTGAGCACTAAAAATGTACTGTCCGAACTATCATGACATTATGAAGATGAAAAAGGAAGGGAATGAGGCAAACAATAACGCAACGGTTTTGAAATGAGAAATATCTGCAGAATATCCAACATTCTATCATTTTAATAATATATTTACGGGTGTACAGTTATGAGAATGAGTCGCTGTAACCTCCTTTTGTTTTTCATTAACCAATAGGCATTCATTACTTACAGCAGTAAATGATAAGGGTAGCTACAGCATGATCTCTTGATTGATTGTAATTCTTGGGTATATCTGAGAATATTTAATGATGATTTGCACATTCTCCAAGACTCCTAGCATCATCGAGTGCTTCCACTCCTCAAAGCCACATCATCAATTTATGACCTTTTCAACTTTTCCAACCGATTCTATAGCAGAATATATTCATCATAGTTAAGACTTTTGGAAAAAATGTGTGGAATATGTCCTAGTTATCAAATCTGGTTTTTAAAGATGACTTTTTTATTTATTTAGAAGAAACTTATGCCAGAATATATGCCGTCGAACCTGAGGATTAATCGAAAGATATTTCCAGTCTATGCGAATAATCCCACAGAGATATTTATGATGGAACACGAATAGTTAACGTAAATAGCATATTTCCCAAGTGTGGAGTAGAACTCCTCTTACTGAAATATTCTCTACGATCAACATTTTGGAGTCAGACTAATATCATAGCTACGCAGAAAGTGATCTATACTGGTGTAAAATGCTCTGATTTTGGTCGTCACTCACCTCTATCAGCAATGACACAAACTCACCGAGATACAGGAACTTTTTGAATACTTCTGACGACCCAGCTATACAACTGTTCCAATCTTATGAAGCTACTTTGAACTTCGACAGTGATAGTTTCTGATTAAAAAAAAGTTTTATTAACACTCTAGTTGATATTTAAGAAATTTTTTATATGTCATACAGGTGGTAATTTTTTTCCGTATGAATCTTACTTGTATTACAAATCATATTAAACTCATTAACTGTATTATAATCAGATATATTAAAGATACTGCCATTAAAGTAGGTTTATTAAGATACGACATTAATCACTAGTGGTAAGCATTTCCTTCGATAAAAATATCTGTTTATGCTGGTGTTCCTTGAAATGAGGAATCCAGGACAGATAACTCAGGCAGAAGTATCTACTAGTGTGTTTTAGTTTTTGCTTTCATAAATAAAGTTTACAGCCACTAAATATAAGTGTACTCTTTTTACCTAGTAGGTTGAAAACTGTGATATAGTTGTTGTAAGCTCCATATTCTTCTCTACAAATCCACTGATTCATTTTGCTGCTTCTTCTACTTTTTTTTTGTTAAAAAAACTGCCTATTTCTAAATTGACAGTCTGGATTTACTCCACTGCATTTAGCTGTAAAGCATTCGCATTTAGAAACAGCTAAATATCTCCTTTTATCTGGTGCTGATATGAATGCAATCGGGCGTAATGGCTTAACACCTCTTCATTTAGCCACACATTATGGATCACTGCTTATGGTTGAATTATTACTAGAGTATAAGGTAAATTGTTAGCAAAACAGTTTTAAAATATTAATTATTACTTTGTAAAATTTTATTTTATTTTTGTATGTTTGATTTGAAGTCAACTTTGATTTACTGATCCAATATTAAAGAATTAATTCCGTATAAGTTAACTGTTACTGTGTTTGGTTGAATTGACCGATGCCGTAGCCGTACTCACTTCTTGTTTGTTATTGTCGGTTGATTAAAGGATATCTGCAACTTTTGTTTATGGTGATACACGTTTCATTTATGCCCTAGTAATGTAAATAGAATTGATAGATTTTCGAAATGATTTCATAACTTCTCTCTAGAGGATGGCCACTCTAGTCACCCACTTATAATCTAGCATGTATTACGATTATTTTCTGATAGTGATAGTCAGGGTAAGTTTGTCTGGTTACGTCATAAAAGTGATAATCTTGTGTGAAAAGCTTATCAATAAAGAAAACTGCATGCCAGAAACCTATTTAACTTTCACAAGGAAAAGGGACTAAACCGGTATTTTTATTTCTCACTTGCATTGAAACCATTTTGGCCTATCTATTCGACCATTCTCCAATTTAAGCAATCTCTTCCACCCGAGACCATTCGATTGTTCAGGATGAAGATTGTCCTACTGATACGATCTCATCTTCTTCACCTTCGAAGAAATCCAATCTGTTGACTTACTGACTAAACAATAAGGGAAAACCAGATTGTTGCATTATGATAGGAAAGAAAGTGTTTTATCCAGAGCATTTTGTGGAGATCGAATCGTTAGGAGACGGCTGGCACCATTAACTGTAAACAACTAGGAAATGAAGGACCACATAGTGAAGTGGGACAGTGGATCATGTTTTTAAACGTTAACGTGTTGTTCATCGTGGGACGTGCACTCATGCGTGTCAACTACTGAGGAATCGTAAATTAGAACAAAGCAGTTGTCTGGTACTTTTCAGTTTCCATTGATTCTCTAAATGATTTTATTTCGCGATAAAAACTACGTTTAACTGTACGGTATTTAGTCCGAATTAGAATGTCCTTAAAAAATTTCCTTGCAACAACAGAGTAATAAGAGCATCAGGTTTCATTAAACCGGGAACTTCGTGACAAAAATAGCGAAGTCTTACCATACTGAAAAGTGTCCTGCATTACTGAATAAAGGTAATGTTCTTTATTGTAATTCCAGCTTTCTTTACTGTTAATGGCATTATTGTCAAAGCCACTGTCACTCTAAAATGCAAACCTTGAGTTTTGATGCGGATGCTTAGTGAAAACCAGAGAAAAATTTGCAATTTCTGCGTTAATAATGAAATAATATATGAAAAATAAGCATTAAGAATGAGTGTCTTTTACAATCAGACTTTGTTTAATAATTATTGTGCATATTAATATGGAAGTTTTCAAGTCAGTGAAACAATTGTGTGCTTAATCCTTAGTGAAGTAAAAGCAAATTTCTGGAATATTTTTATCCATAAATCTATTCTCAGTTGACCTTTATTTCTCCATACCTAAATCTGAGTTAGTAACACGACTTTAAGTTCCACAGCTTCAGCTCATTTATCATATTTCCTCTTGATGAGAATGACTTAAAACCGAGTTATATTTATCATATAGAGAACTTAAAAGCACTATACTATACAGTCAAATGGATGTTGTCGTTAACTGAGAGTGAAACTAATTCTGCTAAATGATACTTACCTTATTAAACAAGTGTACGATACGCGCATAGTAAGTTACTGTAATTCATAGTGCTATGTACAATATTTTCTCACAATATCATATCCGTACTAAAATAAGTCACAATGCCAAGTTTTCATACATTCGTTAAATGATTGACTGACTTATCAGTTACATTATTACCACTACTACTATTAATAGTAGGAAGGTTTATAAACAATGAGAGGGTTAATTGTTCAAGGGACCAAATAATCAATGCCGTTTCGATTAATGTTCACATTTACACTAATTACATTTGACTGTATAATTTGGTAGTCTATAAATCAAAGGATTTATGTAAGTTTACTTTCTAGAGAATTATTGTGGTACTTTAAGATTACAAGATGCTCGGTAAACAAAAACGTCTTCATTTAATTACTTTCCCAACAGCTACTATCTTGACTTGGCTGTCAGGCCTATATAACCAATGAGCTATGTTATCTAGAACAATTGTTCCTTGAGGTCCTACCATGCAAGAAAGGTCTTTTGGATAGTGGCAAGGCTAAAATTAGTAATTATCATAGTGCAAATAGTTTACCCTGCAGTTAGTGTCGGAAGGAGTCATACTGCTGGCTGGATGGCGTATGATAGCAGTTAGATGTTTCTCTTGGATGACCAGCAGTTCACACTGATGCTGCCTTCTCAGTGCGCAGGGCGAAGAGCAGAAAACGTCGGCCACAAAAATAACCCATTTCTCATTGTCCTGCGATCTTGTAGTACTTCGTTATTGGTTTTCTTGTACCATGATAGAATGATGAAATCTCAGTCCCAAACACGTAAAAAGGCTAGTGGTCCGCTGGACTCTGCGGTTACGCAAGACTAATCCTTATTCTTGAGCAGGCATCTTGGATAGACCTTTCCCACAGTGTGAGCATTCTGGAAATGATAACCACCTGCGCTCCTCCTGTAGCACATAAAACCTAACTAACCGTAACCTACCTGTCTTATCTTCATTTACCCCCTTCCCTTCACTTCCTGATCCCAACATTAGGCCCTTTGTAGTTTCTTCGAATTCCCGTCCTGTGACCACTATTAACGATCCAAACCATTCCTTGTCTCTTAAAACCACACTCCCAATTTCGCATTGCAGCTTTCAGCATCAGAACTCTATGTCAAGTCGAACAGCAGCCTTCATTTGCCGAAATTCTGGAAGGTGTAGTTGTGGATGTGTGCTGTCTCTCTGAAACGTACATGCAGGTTTCATTTTTGGTTATGCGCTAGACCTTGCCTGACTACTGTGGTGAATCTGCGAAATCCACCTTAAGGGAGTGTCAGGAGATTCGATGACTAGTTACCGTAGACTCACTGGCGTGGGTATTGCACTAAGTTGTAGAGCAGAAAACGCTTCTCTTGACTGGATCGCAGTCGACACCCATCTGTGAACTAAGCAAAAGAATGAGTTTGTAAGAACTGAGAGATATCATGATACCTGCTCATCACCTTCCACTTACGTACCTAGTAGACTGCAGTTGAAATGATACAAAGGATACACTTTACCTAAAGCTATTTAGAGCAAACTATTCATATAGAGTCATAGTAGAGAGTCATTTCACCTTTCAAGCATGAAAACCGAGCCGGTTCAAAAGTTTTTTTTAGACATCTACGGTAGTCAGTGCTACCGAACCAATAGCAGTAGTCTAACCTCACAATTTTGTTTTGGCGATCACTTGTTCACGGCTAGCACTGACTTCAAAAATAATGGGAAATATTATCTCACTTTGTGCCCGCTAACATAAAACTAACTGTGGATATAAATAGATCGTACTGCCCTAAGTCGTGGTTGAAAATGATCGAATAAAGATTGTCGCTCTTGGTGGAGTATCTTATTGAACTCCTACTATCCATTAGCATGGAAACGTGTTTGTTTGAGCGCTATTGGGTGCAGACAACAACAGTATTGAAATCTTGCGCGCTTAGTCATAAAATAAGAGTGCCAAGTGTATATTTAGGGAAGAGATAGCTCAGCATTTACTTAGGTTTAGCAATAATTCTCTTCCTGCTTAAGTCTGTCGTAATACTTAGTCTTCTATAGAAAGAGCAATGAAGACAGTTAGTAACGTATATCGAAGGCTTAGGAAAAAGCAATGGATTTCTGCAAAGTCATCTGAACTATTTAATGAGAGAAGACCGCTTCCAGCTGTCTCTGACAACGATGAGGAGAGAAAGCGTCTCAGACGGTAATTGACTAAGTTTTCGCAACTATCTTGAGAAGTGGTGGGTGATGAAAGCAAAAAAGACGGAAGAAGCACCAGCATTAGGTAATAATCAGCAACGATTTAAGCTTACTAAAGGTACTGAAGTGAAGATGATGGACAGTGAGGCATCAATGAAAAAGATCAGTGTCTGGTAGCTTCTTAGGACAAGCGGCTAGAATGCTGGGTGAAGCGCTTCGAGGAACAGCTCAACCGGCCAACAGCCATGCTTGACCAGCCTGAACCTGAATGGGACATAGGTGTTTGCCCTCCTACTTTCCTCGGAGTGGAGAAGGTTGTTTCAAACTTGGAATGATGGAAAACTACAGGCTTGATGGTTTTCCAAAAAAACAAATAGATAAGTCGACGTGGGACCTGTTACAGAAGTGTATGGATCCAAGTTGCTACACTATAATGCATCATACAAGGAACATGTGGAGAGAAAAAGAGTGTTATCAAAGTAGACGAAAGTTTATTGGATAAAGGAGAATCAGAGAACGCTTCGGTTAGTGAAAATGTTCGAACTTTCGAAAATATCAAAGAAAGAATACGTTTGCATCATTGTAACCTGTTTTAAACTATGTCACCAAGTATTTTCAGTCATTCATTCCCATCGTCTCGACTGTCCCAAATAAACAGCTTGTCCTTCCATATACTACTTAGACCACTAGTAAAGACTTCACTTGACTGGGGATAAGTTTTCGTCTAGCCAATGTGATTTTCCTTCCAACCCAATCCTACTTCATTAAGTATTGCACGTCGAGGTAGGTGGTGGCTCGGCGTGTGCAAGACATGTTGAAATCACCTCACTCAGTAAAGATTAACAACCTCATCGACTGAATGGCCTTCCTTGTCTAGCATTCTGCGCCTAACTTTTACATTGCTCAAATGGTTTTTTCACCATAAGCATGCAGCACTAGTTCTGGGTAAATCAGCTGGTAGGACAGGTTCTCAAACACAGGTAATGCACTTCAATTAGTGTTTAAATCTCGAAGTGGTTGTTTTTCTACTCAGAAAAAAGGTCAAAAGCACTTTACTGCTTTTAGTTAGTGTGACACACTAGGTTATCCTTTATAATTCTTACCACTATTTCTCTTCTTCCCATCATTTTCTTAAATGGAACTTTTGGTAATATGTTTCTTTAAAACGATGAATCGTAATATTATGAACTTGTCTTTCACTATTAACCTCCTCATAGTAGTAACTCAACTCTGGAAAGGAGAAAGTAGTTATTAACCCACTGCATTAAGTGTCAATGCTATTTCTTTTGGCGTTATAGATAATGGATTTTTGTGTAAAAGGTGTATAAGCTTACAGACTACCTTGTGTAATCAACAGGTGTCCTATGTGTGCTAAGTACTCCCTAGTGCTTCAGAGCTAGCTGAACCTAAACATACAAGTCTAATTTATTTGACCTCAACACTCAACTTATCAGTTTCCTCATTTTCTTTGGGGTCTACTCTTTGTAAAAGCTGAAGACTGACAGAGAAACTTCGGTTGACATTCATAACTATCATTGTGAAACTTTTTGTTCACCAAATATAGGTTATATTTCTTTAAGGCTTGCTTATCTCAGGTACATAAAAATGAAAAGCCGAAATGTTTATTATCACCGCCATTTTCGAAACACTGTTTTCCGTACGATAACATTATCTGATTGGACAATCTAGATGTTTTTTAGTTCTCAATCATTGTCTACCCTGAGTTGAGATTATTGTACGGATTAAGAGTAGGATATGTCAAGTTTCAAGGTGAACAGATGTACTGTCAGTTCATAAATTCAGAGAATATTCTTCTTCAGTATAAAGAGATGGCATAGGATGCTACTATTTGCCACTCAGTAGTCGATCAATTTAATTCTTAATTTCTGGAAAAAGATACTAGTAGTTATTGTATAATACTATATGAGTACACAATGTATTTTTTCCCTTTTATTCTCTTTCAGGCATCTCCAGTTTCTCAAGCTAAGAATGGTTTTATTCCATTGCACATCGCAGCAGAGAAGCATTTAGTAGATATTGCTAAATTGTTAATTGAAGCTACTGGTGATGATAATAGCAAGAATAATGACTCTGGTTGTTGTGATGTACAGTCCCGTAATGGTTTTACACCTTTACACTTAGCCTGTCAAGATGGGAATGAAAAAATGACCAAATTATTGATAGATTCTCGGGCCAAAGTGAACGCTTTAGCTAAAGTGAGTTATCGTTTTAGGTGGCAAGATTCGCTTTGTTTCAATAGAATTGTTGGGTTGGTTGGTAGATGTTTCAGTTTCATGCTAAACATCACCATTGTGTCAAAAATTTTCAAGAATGAGGAGTAAATGACTGTGCGTAGATATTGATAACTTGTTAATTGGGGTGACAGATCATTTGATGAGTGTTTGCATGCACGTTAAATATGATTTGTTAGTGTTTTTATTTCCGACTTTCTCAGATAGTTGTGCGACCAATCAGGTCCAATATATGTCCACACTCACCAAAGAACCAATCAGGTAGAACCTAGACAGAATCGCATTTTATAAATATTGATTCATGATCAATTATTCCACTTCCTTGTAAAGCTTTGATGCACTGATGATTGTATCTGGCATGACACTAAAACGTCTACCAAATAAAACTTAGGCTCAGTAAATAAATCTGTCTGAACCTGTGAACTCTTAGCGCGAAACATCCCCTACTATTTCTAGGATTTTTATTTGTTCGCTGTCTCTTCTCATTTTCATGTAAACGAGTTTTAAGTACGAATGTAACTGTTATTGATGAGGAAACTGTTGATTGGTTGATTTTCGCTTTCGTTCAAAGTTTTTGGGATAATGGAATCTTATTGAAATGAAAATCAATTAGGTTTTACTGTATAAATGCTGTAAATAAAGATAAGTTGAGGTATAAAAGCGTATCGTTGAAAAGAAGCATTCGGAAATTGGTTGCTTGCTATCTGATGGATCTTTCAATAAAAATTAATTTAGTATTCACACTATTATTATTTTAATATTTCGTAGTTTATTAGGGTCCAAAAAAAATAAACGTTTGCACATATGTGAAGTTTTCGTCACAAACTGTAATCGCCCCAAGAAATAAATTATGGATAACTGTTTTATCTTGGTGTTGAACCCCTTAGTAGTGCGTAGTCACAACCTTAAGTTGGATTTCTGCTTAAAATATTTAGGCCTCAGGGGAATATGGTACTATCAACCCCCTGTTAAGCTAATTTGCAGTGGTATGCGCTTAGTAATGATAACAATAATAATCACTTTATTCCAGGAAATACTTCTTATACAGAATGGAATTCGCAGTTTTGTATCCTGAAAAGTTTACTCCTCGTCTGGTATTTTTCAAATTAAACAATCATCACAGTGAAATAATGTTAATAATAACAACAAGATCAGCAATAATATATAACGACCAGTTGTTTTACGTTATTGCCTAGTTTGAGGATAAGTTGTTACATGGGGAAGGGTTGGGAATAGGAAAGCACTCGTAAGTTTTTTTGGTTGAGGTTCATTCAGCCAGCGTGAAATTTTGCAGTTCCAGTTAACTATTCCTGTAACAATTATATGATTTACTGCTATGATCTCAGGGACCCACTGCCATCTACCGTAATGTTTTTGGATACTTTTGTTGCTAACTGACACTAGAGTACATACTACTATTTGTTGACATTTGAATGATTCAAATTAGTTCAGAAGGAGCTATTTGATGGATATATTCGACTGGAAATTTTCGCTAATACAAAATGTAAGCAGACTGTATACGATATTGTGTGACCCAACATTCAAGGCTTATGTGTTAGTGTCCTTTTCACTCTGGATTATAATAAACCCACACATTACAGCTACTAGTTAGAACGTTGAAAAACTCACCTCTATGTAAATACTGCCAAGCATGCCTATTCAGAGGATCATATAGTACATATCTATGCTTCATAAAACTGATTGCTGTACTTCAATCACCTGCTTTATATCTTCGTTCAGGACACAGTTATCCAGATTTAATGGCATATATTACAATGGGATGACTACTAAAGAACCGTTCACTTTTTACTACGCAGTATTATCAGCAAATATTGATAATTATATCATTTGACAAAACAATAAGAAGACGTAAATCGTCTAAACCGTGTAATGTATTTGTGCAACACATGTCGAACTATCTGATCACCCACGTACTTGTCATATGTATTTATATAAAAATTCATGAAGATAAGGTGTGAGAAAATGAAAAGAGGTCAAATAGGAAGGCTGAATTGAAGGCTGATTAACAATGAAAATCAATAGAGCGAAAATAATAGTACATCGAACTTGGTCTTCATAGTTGTATTCACTTTGGGCGATTCAATGGGCTAACAAACTGTTTTTGAACACAAAAGGTGGCTGAAACCTTCAAATTACTTAGGCCTAAATGAATTTCAGGTTCCTCTCCAACACATTTTGCAAATAGGTCTAAAGAAAGTAGCCACGTCAATCCTGTGACCTGTCTCAACGACATGTTTCGTGATCGAAGAACCTGGACGTCTGCTGTCAACGTTTATGGGTTCAAGTGATTTAATTTTTTTCTGAAGCCACTTTGGAACATGTTCCGAGGCCTTTACTTGCATGTATCTATGAGTCCTCCCTATGCATGCATCACCACACGTACATTTGAGTCGGTAGATGCAATGGGATGTTACATTGTCGTTCACACGCAGCAGGGGTTTCAGAGAATATACTGGCTTGATGGTTTCTGTTAATCGAACCCTAGCTGCATAGTAACTCCTAACAGCGGCGTTAAGTCTCTCTTTAAGGATTGCACTATGAGAGTCACCTTTGTACGAAAGACTGATATAGACATCTTTCTCTGGGACAAAGTGAAGAGCTGGTTTTGGTGCTTCGATTATTTGGTTCTACCTAATAAATTTTGATGGATAGTTATTTTCCAACAGTATTTCAGTCAATGTTCGCCTTCCAAAGTATCCTGAATGCAAATTCGTTGAACTTTACTGAATAGGCATCTAACTAACTCTCGCTTGTACTGAACTGGACAAAAGCTGTAGTAGTTCAAACATTACTCTGTCCATGTAGGTTTTCTGTAGATAGATCGCCGCTGATTCATTAATATGTCCAAGAATGACAAGCAATCACCTTCCTCTCCTACGCATGTCAAGGATATGCTGTTCTGTACTTCGTTCAGTCGGTTTAGAATTGAAGTAAACTGACTTGAGCTATCACAAATAATTCGGATATCATCGACATATCTTCGATATAGATGGGCTTGGTCAATTAGGTTCTCGGCTAGGTTTTCCACGTGTGACATAAATATGTCATCTACGATGGGACCTAAAGGACTTCCCATGGCAACGCCATCAATCTGACGGAAATGTTCGCCCTTAAATGTGAATTTAATATTACTTATGTACAAAAGTAGTAGCTCTTTTAAGTGGTCCAAAGAAATGGGTATTGGAAAATTATTCACAGAAATATAATCACATAAAATGTCAATTGTTTTGATTAGGCGGACATTGATGAATAATGAGTTAACGTCAAATGAACACATAACTTTGCTTTTTATGTTGACATCCTCCAGCCATTTGATTCCTTCTTTAAAGGAATACTTACTTAATTGCTTCTTAGTGAGATCCAGTAATTCCACTAACAACTGGGCAAGCTTGTGCGTCGGGGATTTGTAAATTGACATTATAGGACGTAACGAGTAGTTGGGTTTGTGTACTTTTGGAAAACCGTAAAGATGTGGGAGTCACGAGTCAGTTGGTTTCAGTAAATCGAATCTTTGTCTAGTAATAACGAGCTGTTTTACTAGATTAATGGTCACAGTTCCCTGTAACAGTTGTTCGTCTTCTGAAGAGCAATCTTTAGTGAGCTTATTTTCATCATGAAGAATAGACGACATTTTACACTTATATTTGATTTTACCTATGATCACGACACCTGAGCCTTTGTCAGGTCTGAGGATAATACTATCGGGGTTGTCGCGTAGTTTCCCATAGTTCTGGAGTGTTCAGAAGTTAGAATGCTTATTTGGTTCTGATGGCTATCACAAAACTGGTGGGCGATATCCACCATCTTGGCGTTCAGCCATCCCTGATCATCAATTGAAGTTGGAACGAGAGGTTTCAACTGGTCAAATAACTTGAAATTGCGCACGGATAGACAAATCTCATGAGAATTTACGAGGAACACAAAAGTTAACGTCATGGGATAAGGTTTCCTTTTGATATGCGGGCAGTGTCACTGTAGGTGGATTAGTAACATACTTATCCAGGTTAACAGGGAAATAATTAATGTGATTTATATTGTCGAGTGAACTGCTTAGCTTCCGACATATATTGACTTCGTTTCAAGAATGACATTAACACAAAACGATAAGGATTTTAAACGACCTACTATCCATAAATCTGATAGAACATTTGATACATTTACGTGGAATAAAAGCATATCATGCTACTTCTCCTGCCCATTTTCGATATATGACTTTGTATGACGCATAAGATTAGAGATGTTTGGCTACAGTTTATTGAATTTCAAAGTTTTGTAAAACTGTCAGGGAAATATATGACTTGAAATGCATGATTGGTAAAATCCAATCCTCTCTCGTTCAGAGGTAATTGTGCACCTAAGGTTAACAAGTTCATTTAACCTTTTGATATTTTGTGATCAAATAGTTCGAAATGTGTTGCCCAAATACATTACACGACTTAGACAATTTATGTCTTGCTATTGTTTTGTCGAAGTTTATAAAGGGAACCGATTGTTTTAAATTATATCATTGCTATAATAAGTAAATTTCAAATAATTGAATAAGTGATATCTATAAATAGGTTTTAGAAAACTGCATGTTAAGAAATCTACTTCTAGTGACAAATAAGTTGAAACAAGGTCACAAGTACATTAGAAAATTCCAGTTGGAAAATGAGTAAATGTTGGGAAAAACATTGCAATTTTCGGAAAACCTATGGGTAAATAACGTGATGAGGAAAGATTTCCATGAACGAAAGAATGTCATATACTCTTAGAAAAGAAGTGAACAGGGCAGTGAGATTATGATGGATATCTGAGTACTATGTACTATCATGTCAGAAAGGTACAAATGGAAGTCAAATCGTCGGAAAAGCGAAACAAATAGTTGGTATGCTTTATGGAGATTATTCTGTCAGTCAACATGAACATGGTATCTCTATCGAGATACAAGGCACTAAGACAGAAGATAGAGAAAAGGGGGAAAAGGGAAGAGGTAGTCAAAGGGAGTTGCAAGTCATAAAAAAGAAGAGGGGAATAGAACAATGACAAAGCGCGATATGACGATTAAGAGGAAGAAAATAAGTGTTTACGTCTGTGGCAGTGACCCAAATCACGTAGTCTACATTTACCAATTCCAGTTGTCACATGGACCTCTGCCGAGAAGTTAAAACTCCCTTGTACAACTCAGACCAACAAAGACTTCATGGAATCGATAGTCGTTAAAATATTGACTCAGTTGGTTAACGACCCTTTCTCAATCCCAGTGTTAACTTGTATAAGAAACAAATTTGAATTCATATACTAAAAATTTCCATGAATTCATCCCTTTCAAAGGACAAAGAGTCGTAGGCATTTTAAATTTTCACACATTTCGTTCTCTTGACAAAAATGAAAAAAGCAAGGACACACAGACTTACAGAATCCAGGGTCATCATTTTGTTTCACGGATATTCATCAGCTGCACACAACCGAAAGTTGCATAACTTAGTCAAGATAAGTGAGAATTTATACATGATTGCGTGAATAATCTTAGATCTATAAAAATGTCAAACAATTAACGATTCAAGCGAAGAGAGTTGCTAACCAATTGAGGACGTTTATAAGCCCACAAATAATTAGGAAACATCAAAACAAATAAATGGGACCAAAGTTCATTAGATAAAAAGGAAGACATAATGTTACTCGAAATACTAACGAATTATCATGATAAGAAAAGACTAACCACAGCCTCTTTTTGTATGTAAAGGTCAGATTTATTATGGATGATTACGAGGGCTTCAGTAAAGTGTAGTGAACTTAGAAATTTTGATTTATTTATTATGCTGACAGCTTCAGAGATATCTTTTTGATGTGCAGTTTCCATTAGGTGTCTGGTTGTTACACTTGTAAAAATGGCGCTCCCTTTCAAATTAAATTTTTCGGGACTTGCTCATAAAATTGAGTAAGTCCCCTTGTCTCAGTCTTTTTTATGTACTTGTTTCCTCACGATTAGAAGTGAATTGGTAAATACAGTTGGTTTCAACATGAGACGGGTATCTATCTACTTGAGATTGACCAAATGATCCTGTTGTATTGTAAAGTGATATCAGTCTAACGGAAGGGAAGCTTCTTTTCACTGCCCTCTTATCTATCTATTGTTTCTGCTATCTCATCTTTCGTTAATATACAAGTATTCGTGAAGTGAAATGATGTCATTTTATTTTACAAATCTGTTCGCGCCTGTTGTTTTCAAATCTTGGTCGTTAACGTACAACAGAGCATTCATCAGAAAGAGGATTGGATTGGTCAAACCTTTCTCAGGATTATTTTCAAAGTAAAATGTTAAGTCTGTTAATATGACAGGAAAGTTGTGTGAACATATACTCACTAACTGTGATTCATTATGGGCATGATAGAGATGAAATGAAGGCATTAAAGAGGCCATCGTGAATATTCAACTACCAACACTTCTTGGAACTGAGTGCATTTAACTTTTCCATCTGAACACATGGCTGGTATTATATACCAGGTTTACAAAATTGTCCCTACATAGTTTGCGGTAGAAACCTGTGGTGGTATAAATAATGAGTAATAGTGATGATACAATGTGTTGGTACTAATCTATGAGCTACACGTATTATGTGGGTGACTTTAAAGGCCATTCTAGCAACTGATGAGACAGCCAATTACATCCCCTTATTTTATTGAATAGTACTTAGCGAGGCGAAATACCGAAGCTTGATTGGTCATTTCAGAAGTTGCTAGGGTGGCCTTTAAAATCACTCTATTTTACATAGTTGCCACCGCGATTTAAGTAGGTGGAGCAACGTGATAATCGAATGTCAAGTCCTTAAGCCATTACTGAGTACTAATGTACTGGGTAACCGAGTTGAATAACATTTTTGTTGATTTTTCATGAACGAAATAAAGAGTAGTATTGTGCATGCTGAAAGCCAAAATGAAGTCATCTAGCAAAGTACACGGATCAAATAACTTCTTGGTGGTTTGAAGAGCCTGTGGTTAGTCAATGAGTTTGCAATTCTTTAAATTACTGAGTGACTACGTGCTTTAAAATAATTTCACATTAGATGATAAGTGCGCAACTTGATTATTATTTTTTATCAAGTAAAATAACCATCTCCAGTATTGACTATTACTATTATTACTTTTATTTCAACCTCTCCCTCCCCTTAGAATGGGCTTACTGCAATGCATTTAGCAGCTCAAGAAGATAGTGTTAAAGCTGCAGAATTACTCTTTGCTGCTGGTTCTGAACTGGATGTTAAAACAAAAGCTGGATATACTCCTTTGCATACAGCTTGTCATTTTGGCCAAGTAAGTTGGAATACATTTGGAGATAGTCTATGGATGTGTACTAGCGATGTGTTGGAAAACATTGACTCCTCTAGGCTGAAATTGATTTTTAAGTATTGTCATCTAACAGAAATGCTTTAAAGTGATGTGTGCATACTACTTATTACAAGTGACCAGTAGGCTTGAACACATCATGATGATTATTGGTCAAGTCAGCCAGTAAATGGTAGTGGCCTACTTGTGAAGGCATTAATAACGACCACGCTGTGTCAATTTTTTTCTTTTAATCGTATCAAACTGAAGTCGATTATTTTTCTTCCAATTAGAATGATTACCCTTAAGAGGATGAATCGCAGTCGAAGTGAATAATATGAATCGGATTTCACTATATATAGGAACAACCCTTATTTCTTTTAATAATAAGCTTAGTATTAGATTTTTTTGTCGCATGCATGATGTTCAGATTGACACTGAGAAGTGATTTGAAATATTTAGTGATGAATTCCTTTACATCACCCTTGAGTGACTTAGATCTCAATTTTTTAAGTGAACATGAGTTTTCTGAAAATTTCAGCTACATCTTACTGATGTGTACTAACAAGCACAAAACTCAGGTGAAAAATCTTTGCAGCTGGTCAGATAGATAAAGTCAAAGTAGAACTCCATACACAAGGGTAATTGTTCAATTTCCCACAATTGATAGTAGCCTTCAAAAAGCAGGTGGATAGAAAAAGACTAATATCAAAGTAGACAAAGGTGTATAGGAGGAGAAGCAGTTCGAAAATGAAGGTCAGTCAAGAAATTCTGACTTTAGGAGATGTCAAGGGGCGAACACGTCTGCACTACTGTGACCGATTTTCAGCCGTTTCGCCATGAGTCCCCAACCACTGATTCCTTTCGTCTCGGGGACCCCAACCAGGTAGTCTACATCCCCCCATACGACTCAGACCAACAGTAAGAGACTTCATCGACTGGTACCAGGTCTTAGTCTGACCACTCTGAACCCTGTTCCAACCTAATCCAACTTCCCCTATAATGGCATGTCGAGATAGGCGGTGGCTTGGCATGCGCAGTATATGTTCAGGCTATCTCAATCGACTAAGGTCCATAACCTTGTCAATTGACTTGCCTGTCTTGCCTTCTACTCTTCGCCTGACCTCAACGTTTTCACCAAACGCAAACAATGCTACCAAGACACCTTTGATCAATACCCTGAAGCCGCATCATATCTTTTACTTTTAACGGCTGTCTCATAGCCGAACAACAGGACAGAACGGATTCCACCGCAGTATAATCGTTCCTTGATAGATAGTCGAATATCTCTTCAGTTAATGCCAAAGATGATGCAAGTTGCCAAGTGCTAAACGAACCTCCTGTATCCGAACTGAGAGCTTCTCAACAATGCTCGTTCCGGTTAATACAACTCCTTAAGTAAATGAACTGGTCGATCCATTCCACCAATTCACTCCCTATACTTAAACTGGGAGTAGTTACAGGTTAATACTGAAGCACATTTGATAGGTTCGAAACGCATGTCGAACAATACAGTCGTGAAACATTTCTGAAACCAATGTGGTTGCATAAACTGGTGATTCTTTTCCTAGTAATCCTGAGGAAAATTTTGTGTTTTTGTCAGCTGACTACTCTGATGACTATAAATTGAAACGTAACCCTACTGTATGGTGAAGTATCAATGCTAAAATATTACTTGAACAACTAAATAATTCTTTGTGATTAAGTTGTTATTTGACATTTGTTTTCAACTGAATGCATAAACTAAGACTGAGTAACATTTGTATCCCTTATGATTGCTAACTAGTTAGCTTTTCCTTTTCCTTCTTTGCTGGTTTCATAATTCTCTTCTAGGTTAATATGGTTCGATTTCTTCTAGGCAAGGGTGCTGATGTTAATGCTGTTACATGCATGGGATCGAACGCTTTACATCTAGCTGCACAACAAGGTCACTCAACAGTTATATATGTTTTGCTAGAAAGTGGGGCTAATCCAAATATGCGTAACAAGGTAATCGACTGATTGATTTTATAAGCATTGAAACATAAGAGGTAGTGAGAGTTGTTTTAACCTATTCGGCAATGTATAAGTCTGAACCTGAAACTTCTATGTCACTCCCTCCCTTAAAAGACACTTTTTTAAATTCGAGGAACCATGCAAAGCTCTTACGGAAATAACCGGCTTCTACGAACACTGAGGGATTATTTCTGAAACAGTCCATTTTTCTGGACTTCAGGGTTATATCTGTGTTTACAAGCTGCTAAGCCTCAGAGTCCTATATTTCTGAAATATTTGCATGTAATAGTTTGAAGACTAATTAAATTAAATGCGGAAATTCAGTTATCTGCACTGGATACGTTACTGAGGTAAACTATTAAAGTGACTACATTCAACTATCTCGCTTAACAACTATTATCATACCCGCCTCTCCAACTTTCAGCTCATGTCTCTTTTTCCTCTCTGCATTCACAGAGGAATATGCCTATCTTCATCTGCAATCGATTTTACGGCTTCATAGGTGGGATCCGTAAGAATCTTAGCATTATGAGTTGCTTATTACTAGCTTAATTTTTGCGTTTCTGCTTGAAATCGTTGATTCAGTTTTGTCATATTAACCATTTTCTTGTGTACAAACCAAAATTTCAGAATTATACTGACTGATGCTAACAAAACACTGAATGACTAAAGTTTTCTTACCGATTATTGGTTGTAATTCCCGGTTGGTCATTGCATACTTGATTGAATCGATCGATCTTTCTTGATATTTGGGGTCCTTGAGCAGATACCTCAGTATTACTTCAAGTTTTGTCTTGAAGTTAGTTTGCTTGGTGAAGTCTAGCAGTGAAATCCAGCACGAGTGTTTTTTTCCAATTGGAAATCCTTAGCCGGGTGTAGTGGAATCCGAGCGAGTGATTGAATTCCCACTGATACTCGAACCCAGCACCTATCGCTTCAAACACCAGAGCTCTTGTGGCTTTCTTTACTCATTAGGCTATTAGATATGCTCTGGACGGCGGCCTGCTTAAATCTTCGGCTACCAAAAAACTTTCCACCTATTATATTTCATCAAATTCTTCCCTTTCAGTTTATTTTAATATTTTAAGTGTTTTCTGAACATATCATGTACTTTCACAGATCTTTAAAATGTTTTCGAACTTTCGTTCCTCAAGCTCAGAACAAAACAAAGGTAAAACGTTTCACCGGTTGGAAGTGGATTTGTAAATGCTGGAAAATACACCGCATTACTATTCCTAGGATACCTTATATGGGATTGTGAATTTATGCGCTGGCTGACTGAATTGCCACCATCAAAATTACACTTGATTTTGTGTTAATTTTCACTGTTAACCATCACCAAGCAAATGACATCAAGAGTAAAGCTTTTTTTGTCTTGCAACCATATCATTTAATCACTGGTATAACCACACTTCATTCTACTTTTGAACCATCTAAATAATATTTGTTTATATTTAAATCTTTCTTTCAGCCACGAAAGTAAACGTAATCTCTAACGCGTTCATTCTTTCTGTGTAAATTAAGTAAGGTTGCTGCAACTGTATTAATTTCACCTATCCATTATACTGTTAAACCTGACAACTCGTTCACTGGTCACATGAGTAGGAAATTATATTTCAACAACAAATAGTGTACAGAAAGGAAAACCTTGACCAAATATACTATGAACATATCACACTAGGCTATTTGGTACACAGTGATTTAGTATTATTTACCAGATAACGTTTATTGTTCACTTTGATATTGATCACAACTTCTTGTCTTCGTCTGTTATAGTTCTACTGCTTTTTTCATTCTTTGAAGTGATTAGTGGTAGAATTTGCCACATATCTTGAATCGATGTTGAATCATTCCTATTACACGTCGTAAGAGAGAGAAGTTGATCACTAAACATCTGTGCATCGATTCAACGCTTAACACGTCTAATAAGAATGATATGAACACCGACTCTAGATATATGGAAAACCCTACTGTCAGTCAAATCAAAGAACGAAAAAAACAGTACAGCTATAATAAAAAAAACTCAGATAAGAAGTTAGATGATTACTTTGATGTAAATATGACCAATAAGCTATGCTCGAAACGTCATCTAGTAGATTATATATATATATATATATATATATATATATATATATATATATAATCACTGTGTGCTGTAATAAGTAGACTAATATAGTATGGAATTACATTTCTACCATAGCGTCTGAATTGAATACTTACATCATGCGATGATTAGTATACCGTAAACAAGTTCACATGGCATGAATTCTCTTTGAGTTGCCACCTGAGCCGGCATTCGTCGAACTTTCTAGACATCATCTTCAGAAAGGATGAAGATATTGATTTTTCTTACTGGAGTAGTTTTCTTTGCATACACTTTCCATTTTAAGAAAAGTAAGAAGGTATTAACGCATTTTCATTTAACAAAGCCGTTGTCATTCACTACAACAATAAGAGTTTATTATCACGTTTATTTTTCGTTTTCATGCGTGTTTATACACTTAAAGGTCAAAGAGTTCTACCATAGTGCTAATTAATTGTTAAATAAAACCAAAAGTTTATGGTTGGTAATATTTATTCGTGTTCATTCTCGATATGTGTATTAAGGATATAGCACATGCAGCACCTCCGTATGTATGGTTGTATGTGTGTATGTAGCCTTTCATTTTCACCATGATCAGGATTAATCGATTTTTCTAGAATAATAAAAGTAGTTGTAGGAGGAGGAATAGGACGAATATTTTGCTGTGTAAAGAGTTGGGTGGAATGCGATAAATCGTTTTTAACGCTTTCATTTTATTCACCGTGACCGATATTCACTAGATGTGACAAAATATTCATACGTATTGAAAAAAATTTGTGCATCATTTATCCCTGCACCGGTCACGAAAGACTCAATAAATGACCTTTATTACAGATTTTTAAAATGATCTCCCCCTTTTCATTTTCAGTTTTGTCACCCCTTTCACACCACTACTACGTTTACATTCAAACTTCCTTTGTCTATCGCCTTCACCTTCCAGGACTAGGCAACTTCAGCGTCTTTTCCCAAGATCTGAACTACCTTGGCTGTCTGAACGAGTGACTTCAAAGGCCACCCTAGCAACTCCTGAGATAATTTAATTAGGCTTCTTTATTTCGTAAAAAAATGTACCGTCGTAGCCGACATATCGAAACCTGATTCGTTATTTCGGTAGTTGCCAGGGTGGTCTTTAGAGTTAGTCATATGTACGCCTGTTTAGGTTGTCATGCAATTCTCAACGTGTGAATTTAACGATCACTCTAACAACTACTGGAATATTCAAATAGGTTTCTCCATTTCACTTAAAAAATGTCTTTCTAACTGAAATAGACAGACCTGATTGGCTGTTTCAGTAATTGCCAGGGTGATCCCTAGAATCAGCTTTCTTGGTTAACGTTTTTTACCCGGAGTATTCCCCCCTCCCCTATTTTTTTAGGATGGAGAGTAAAAATTGAAAAGGAAATATAATTGACTGGTGCCTTTGTTAAAAAGCCATGTGTTTGTGTTGCCAAAAAACATTTATATTGAACCGGAACAATTATTTGTTGGAGTCTGATTGGTTGAGCCCAGATCAACTAGCTATTTGTTCTTAGATGTGCCTAAAAATCATGATGTATGAGATAAAATCACTTTTGAGAAACAAATGACCATTTGATTAAGATTAGATCTAAAATTAGTGTAGGATTTGTAAAGATTTTAATTTTGTAGTGACAAAGCTGTGTAATATTTCAGGAAGTGTATTTCATTCACATTGTATTAAGTATTAGGTGTAATTCCTGACTTTAAACGAGGTTTATAGAAAAATCTAAATTTGAACTGTATTGTAAGCAAATTTTTACTGAAAAGTTTACACATAATAAGTTTTTATTTTGGCAATATTTCTAACAAACTTATTGTTCATGATCACACCAACAATTAAAATTTTTTTAATGAATTAAATTTTTAATTGAAAAAAACTTATCATTTTGTGCAAACTTTTCACTAAAAATTTACTTAGAATACATTAATCTATTCCACAATGCATAAATTTTTTATTGATAGATTTAATCTTAGTAAGAATAAGCTGCTAGCTGAAATTTTGAGGATATTGTTAGTGGTTCTGATCTACATTAAGGTGGTCATTTAAAACCGGTGTTAATTAAGTAATCATGTAACTATGCGCAAATTTGGAAGTTTATCTTCGTGTTTGCCGTGACCGTATGCTGTCCCTTTCAAAACTTACTATTCAAAGTGGATTTCTTGTAAAAGGGAAAGTATGACAGGAATTTCTGCAAATATTTTAGCTGTGATTAACGGATAACAGATGCTTAATTTCTCATACTTCAAAGAAGTGGTATCCCATGTGATTTCTTATTGTTATTTCATAACTGCAGTAAATGTGCTTATCTATACTGTGTAAGGATTTGATTTCTTGTACAGAAAAGGAAATGCGAGGATCTTCGACAAACTTTCTAATTATGGTTGACGGTTTCAGAAAGCATCCTGATTCCACTCCTTACAATCCTAACACCTAAAAAATGCTTGTATTCCAGCTGACTTGGAGCAGATCAAATATGAATTCCTTTACAGGTCACACTATAGATGCATTGTTGTTTGAAGGGGGGAAATGTCGGTTTTCGATGCATCTGACCTATACGATATGAATGTTAAGATTTCAAATATCGTGCGACTAACCTTTGTGATATCTTCGTAGCTGATGTCAAATACCTAGGGTGAGGTAAATTTTTCCAACTGATTTTTAATCAAACCAATAGACTGTTCACTGACTGAAATAAGAGTGGGTTTATAATGCATTTCACTTCACACTAACTATGGATGTTTCGTGTTTTACGAAGAAATTACTCAGTTAAGGGCATCTAAAGAAAAATTCCACAGTACATATCGTTAACGTTATGAAATGTTTAGTCCTCTATTGAAATGCAACATATTCTAATGAGTAAGAAACATCATCAAACTAGGAGTATTGTGTGTG